ACATTTTTTATTCACTATTAGCTCATAGTGCAATTAACATTGTCTCTAAGTGTAATGAAATGATAGCTGAGCTTTTTAATTATATTTTATAATTATATAAAAGAAAAATTGCCATAATCATTATATTGTTTAGTCGTTTATTATCATTGTTTTTAAAAAATTATAGTTTAAATTATTGGTAAGTGTAAAATATACTAAATTATAAAATGATTTAAGATGTAAATTGAAGCGTATAACAAAGTTTATAATATAAATTATATTTTTTAAAAAACTATAAAAAACAAGTGTAAAAATAATTAAACTATAAAAAAGATTATAGTGATTTTCCCTTTTATAAATCCAAAATAAATATCTAACAAGTTAATTGAAGAAATGACTAAGAATGGAGGAAGGAGGAGATAGGAAACAAGACTCTTTTACATTTTAGGTGATGAGATTTCTATCATGATTTTATAAATTCTTATCTCACTTCTTACCCAACGAGTCGTAATTACAGGTTTTAATTCATAAAAAAATCACTAATTATAATTGTTCACACTAAGACATCCAAACAAATTATTTTCAAGATACTAAATTTATCTTCTTATTTAAGAATATCAGCATAATATTCATATAGAGTTCAAAAATCATAGAAATTTTTATTTACATGACCTGACTTGAAGTTCAAGTTGAGGTAACCAAACAAAAAACAAAAATCATAAACCCTTACCTCAATCCTCTTGGAATTTAATTACACAAGTAAGGCTAGGGTTTTCATTTTGATATACGTAAGCTTACAACTTCTTCAATCGCCAGGAACATGTATGGCTGATGTGAATTCGTACTTTCCATAACGTAATCCTTCTCCAACAACACGGCACGCTCTGTTGCGGTAGTCATAACTTAATCAAGGCAATCCTTTCTAACAATATTATATGTTAATAACCATTCAATTGACTTAGTAAACGAGAATCAGTAAACAATTTGATCATAATATATATATATATATATATGAACATATGAGACCCTGAGATCAATGAAATTAGAAGGTATTTATTTGTGAAGTCAATTAACAATAGGAAAGGAAATAATTATACTTGTTTTTTATTAGACCAATGTGGAATCCAGCCACACAGGGCGGAAACAGGAGGGCAAGCAGGGCTCGTGTTCTTGCAAAATATTTTAATTTTTATTTATTTATTTATTTAAATAAATAATTTTTTTAATAATATATATTATTATATTAATTTTGACCTCTCTGTAAAATATGCCTAGCTCCGCCCCTGCCACATATACAATAATTTTATAATTTTAAAAATAAAAAAGCCATAACAAATAATTTAGTATAGTGTTGAAGCGCATAGAATATATATAAAAAAACAGAATAAATTATCTTCAAAGATTATATTATTTGTCTTTTTCCTTACCAAAAGATTTCTTACTTTACGAGCTTATTTTTAAGTGTTTAACTTTTCACTTAATAAGTTATTGAAAAAACTTGTATTCTTATAATATAGAATAAAAGTTTTAGAGTTTCATAAAAAAACATAACATGTTAATCAAATGTTTTTTTTACATTATTTTTTTTATTTACTTATAATTTATTTTAATTATATTTGTGTTCCATGTTAAAGAATTTTTTTTAAAGAATAATTTCTAATAAGGTTTAACCTTAGATATCACTTTTAATTTGATATCAAATATGCTTACTAATATTTAAATATTTGAAAACTTATATAGATATAATGATTTAATGGATCACTATTTTAGAATAAATAATTCTTAACTTTGAACCTTTAATAGTAATATATTACCATGTTTACTCAACTATTTAATGAACACAATATCTTAAACTATTCATCATTTTATGTAAATCTAGATAATAATACTCATTTGATTCTTTGTCTAAATATTTTTTTTGGTTCTTGTTGTTGAATTAATTTTGATCTTGAACAATTCTTGATAGGTGTTTTAGAGAATTCAATCTGTTATAAATTCTCAATAAAACACTTATGATTTTTACTCATATAAATAATTATTTATTAGAAATATTTTACTATACTCTACTTGGTATATAAATAAATAAAAACTATTATGAGCACAACTCATCTTTTATCAAGCTACAACTAACACCTTTTTCATTATAGAAATATGCATGAAATGATAATTTCTTAGTGCTATTTATAATATTACATAACTAAGTTTTCCCTTTGAATCAACTAATTAAGGTTATTATCATTATATTCTTTCATTTTTAAAGGCTTTCGGTCTATTTTCCTCCATGAATTATATATAAATTCTTTCAAAAAAACCTTTATTTAGTAGATCTGTAATATTGTTTTTAGTTTTATATAGTCAATGAAAATAATAATATTCAATAAAAAGTGTTAATAATATTATTTCTACAACATATATATCTACATTCACTATTATATATGTTATTTTATGTCATTCTTATTATTGATTGAATTTTTCTTTTCTTCGATCAATATTGACTCATTGGTTAAAATAAAGTATGAACTTGTTTTAGACCGAGACATTCATTTCATCTCCAAGTGGCTTTTACAAGGGAGTTTTTGTCTCTATTGATTATTGGTCTAGACAGATACATAGGACTTGCTCATTGATTTAATTGAATGAATCCTTGGTGCTAGAAGCATTATTCATCTCTAGACTAATGCCTTTTTTTTTTTTTTATTTGAGGGTAATTCTCTGTTAAGAATGAATGTCTTTTTTTTTTCTTTTTATAAAGTGAAATAAAAGGAGTCTAAATTAGTTTAGACTTACAATTATTTCAAGAAGAGGTTTTCTATTGAGTTGATATTTTTGTGTTTCTATACAAATATTACAAGGATTGATCTTGAAATCTTTGAAATCTTTAGTTATAGAGTAGTTTCGATGTTTATTTTTTATTAAGTACAATAAAAATTCAGCACCAATTTTTTTTTTTCACTTTTACTCATCCTTGGTTCAACTTCATCATTTTTCAATTTATTTTGTTTTCCTCTTACTCCTAAAAAATATTAACAATTATCTTAGTCCTCACATTTTAGATATTTTTTTCATATATATTACAGGGAGATGATAGGGATAAAACTAGAAAAAAAAGGTTACCACCTAATTCTATGATAACTAGAAAACCCTAATTAGTTTTTAGAGGTTCTAGATAAAAGACTAATTATATAATAAAAAAAGATAATAATTATTTAAACTAGATATGTATTCAATGAAAAATTATATTTATCAGCTTATATGCTTATAATTTATCTAAACTAGGTATGTGTTTATACTAGAAGACTATTAAAATCTAGGATAATGATTTAAAACATTGGCCTAGCAATAAAACTTAACCATAATTATTAAAATATGACCATTAAACCTAAGAAGATGACAATATTAATTAGGTTTTGGTTTATTTTATTTAATGATATTTCAAAAAAAAAAAACGCTTGATGGCCATAACACACACATGCTCAAGTTATGTTGTTCTAGCTCAAATTTACTCTTAAAAAAAATATTATTTAACCTGGCATAGAAAAACAACTAAATAAATATTCACACATATTCAACATTAAGATTTATAAATATTTATAAGCCAAAGTCCAAAATAATATATACAAACTTCTATTACACATTTCAACGAGCATATCCATGTTCACACACACAATAATAATAATAAAAAAAAACTGAAAAAAGAATGTAACAATTTTTTAAATTTTTTGAATCTACGAATTCGCAAGAAAATGGATTGCCTCGCATCTTTATGCGAGGCAAATCCCATCACAGTATCTAGTTATGGAAATTGCATGGCTAATTAGGACCTATCCTGGAAGCTACAAGGAATATTCAAGACCTACTCTGCTGGTCACTTTGAAGATTTCTTGGCACTCGGTTGCGTAACAAAAACAACATTTTAATCAAGAGCTGCACCTCAAATTCATCAACGTCAAAATCCAAAGTAATTTATCTTTCTGGAGTGGCTTGTGCTGCAAATTGAAATGCGTTGTTCTGTTCTTGACTGCCAAGAAAACTGTTTGTCGTCAACGTCACACTCCTGTTGAGAGTGTGTTTGGCTTGGAAGTGTAATATTTTTTTTTAAAGGAAAATATTTTTAAAGTATAAACCTCTCCTAAAAATTAAACAAACATACTTTTTATGTGAATTTTAAAAAACAAAACTAAAAAAAAAAATTACCGTCCATCCAAAACACACACAATCTATTAGTCAATTGATCTAGATAAAAAAAATAAGTCCATATTGTTGACTTTTGAGCTTTTATAATTTTTTTATCTTGAACAGCTTAATGGTCTTTTTGTCCAAGGACAAGATATGCAAACAAATAAAATAACAAAGAAAGACCGAGTAAAGTAATCTAGATTGGAACAAGTAAAATAGAATTAATCTTAAGACAATTTTTCTTTTAATGAAACGATCAGCTTTGAAATCCGAAACTCTTAATTGAAAATTTCGTGTGCAAATAAAAAAATGGTTGGGCGTCACGTAGGTGAAGACTGCTATAACTTAGTTTGATTTAGAAAAGGATTTAAAATAGAATTATGAAACTTATCTTCTACTCGGAGCATCTAGAAATATTTTTAAATATTGTTAAATCAATTTATTATGTTTTTTAAAGATATTTTCAAGGTAGAAAAAAGAAAATAATACCAATTTTTAACTCATTTTATTATATAAAATTATTTAACATAAAAATTAATTATTTTAATAATCAAAATCATTTTTAACAAAAACATTATTTATATTGGAATTCAGCAATCTCCTCTTTCTTTATAGTAAAAAAAAAGATTAAAAAAATAACAAATTTTAATACCAAAATTAAATTTTTAAATATTATCCTTTAAAATTAACTTTAATTCAACTTTTATTTAAGATGCAAGTCTTGAACTAGGGAATATGTTTGGGGTCTTCTAAATATACTTGTATGTATTCAGGAGTAGCCGTGGAAAAAGGGAACAACAATGGGAAGAAGAAAGCAGGGATAATTGCCAGCACCGTTGTATTTGGCATGGGCATGCTAATGTTGGGAATGATCTTTTGCATACGGAGGAAGAAATTTAGAATGAATGATAACTTCAAGGATGTAAGGAAAGAAGACATGGAGTTACCGATATTTTATTTGAGCGCCGTTGCAAATGCCACTGGTAATTTTTCAAGCAGAAACAAGCTGGGAGAAGGTGGTTTTGGACCAGTATATAAGGTAAAAAAAAGTCACCTACCTGTTCAAACCATCATCTAACATGAAACTAACTGAAGAATGTTGATGATAACTTAGGGAATATTGGCAGAAGGACAAGAAATAGCAGTGAAAAGACTTTCGAAGAGTTCTGGTCAAGGATTGAACGAGTTAAAAAATGAAGTTATATTAATAGCTAAACTTCAACACCGCAATCTCGTAAAGCTTCTTGGGTGCTGCATCCATGAAGATGAAAAAATGTTAATATATGAATACATGCCTAACAAAAGTTTGGACTTCTTTATTTTTGGTGAGCACATGGCTGAATCAACAGCACTTTGTTTTTGATCTGTTATCATCTATATTTTTATTTCTGTAAGAATTGAAGTTATTTGACTAACATGGATAGAAATTGATCAGACCAGACAAGAAGAAAATTAATGGATTGGAGCAAGTGCATGAACATTATTGTTGGAATTGCTCGAGGGCTTCTTTATCTCCACCAAGACTCCAGGCTGAGAATAATCCATAGAGATATCAAAGCCAGCAACATTTTACTAGATAATGAGCTAAACCCAAAAATTTCAGACTTTGGCCTGGCTAGAATGTTTCGTGGAGATCAAACGGAGGCCAATACTCATAGGGTGGTTGGAACATAGTAAGTGTCCATAATCTAGCCTTGAAGATTTTCCTTTGTGTTCTAAGATTTCTGTTTTTTATTATTATTAATGTTCTTCAGTGGCTACATGTCTCCTGAGTATGCATCAAATGGACACCTTTCTGTGAAAACCGATGTCTTTAGCTTTGGTGTCCTAGTCCTGGAGATAGTGAGTGGAAACAAAAACCGGGGATTTCGTCACCCGGACCAGAACCTCAACCTTCTTGGGCATGTAAGCTTCCATTGATACATGTAAATATATATTCTTTATTAACCGAGAGGTGATATTATACTGCTCAGTTTCTTTCAGACTCGTCAAAAGGCATGCCATGGTACCTTAGTTACATCAAGGATGCTTCTGCAGTTAATAAAAGATACTGCTTTTTTTCTTTTCCTTAGGCATGGATACTTTGGATTAAAGGGACACCCTTGGAATTGATCGATGAATGCTTGGCCAACTCTAGCAATGTGTCTGAAGTGCTAAGATGCATTCATGTGGCTTTATTATGTGTGCAACAACGACCCGAAGACAGGCCAAACATGCCGACTATTGTTCAAATATTAGGCAATGAGAATCCATTGCCTCAGCCTAAACAGCCTGGATTTTTCATCGGAAGAAACCCACTTGAGCAGGATACCTCATCTAGCCGGAACAATGTTTACTCAGCAAATGAAGCTAGTTTGACATCACTAGAGGCACGGTAACTCGTCACTTGAAAATTCAAGTAAAAGAGAGAGATAAGACTAAGTCAATCAATAAGATTTCATGGTTTCAGAAATTCTATTTGCTGATATCCAATCTTGTTTTCTACCGGTTCTACCATTCCAAAATGGCATCATAGAGCTATATATATCTTAAGAGAATAATCAGTTCATCAATACCAGCCAAGCTGGCCACTCCTGCTTGCGATGGATCAGACATGATAACTTCCTGGTTTGTGTAAGCTTCATTTTCATGGTAGGCTTTACTCATTTTGTTCCTCTTTTCCCTTCATTGTGACTTGTGCTACATGAATTTTTATAATAATTAGCCTCTTGGTATTAATTGTTTATTTATTATTTTATCTTCATCCATTCTCAACAATGAGCACCTTCCTCTAGATTTTGTCGGACGACACATACTGTTGTGTTTTGCAATTTTATTGAAACAGTCAAGTCAATCGTTATTAGGTTATCATATACTACAATGAAATTATGATTATTGTGAATCTTTTTCTTGCCTGCCTGTTTATTTTAACCTTCCGTTTTGTCTTTGCTCTGCTTTCCACCTCTGCTCTGAACAATACATGAAAATGGTGTTTCAGTGCATTAGCTATTAACAAGAACAGCAAGCAGCATCACTTCCAATACGCTAAGATAGCTTTGATTCATGATAAGTTCACAGGTCATTTGAAAAAAGCTTAACAATCTCTAATGCCATAAATAAATAGTTTTGGATGATGCCTCCGTTTCAACCTCAACAATCAAGTGCATCAACTGGTCTAACTGTGTATATATACTAAGCTGAAGCTTTGTTATGCTCATTGTGGATGTCTTTGATGCGAAACTATTGAAACTTCTTGAAATTGGACTTTTCTGTCTTCAATAGATGGATCTTATGGTCACTGAAAAAAAGGTGGCCAATTTTTACCGAAGCTACTTGGAGTCAATATTTTGAGTCTGTAAGGAAGAAAAGCATTTCTCATGTCATTTCCTGAAAAATCTCTTCCCATTTGACTAGTAACTTCTTCTAATAACAAAACATCTTTCTTTGTGATCAAACGTGAACACATATGAAAACTCTCTTGAATGGGAACTTTTTCAGTGCTGTTTGCATGATCTTTCTTGTTCTTTATCTTAAAGCATAATCTACCCAAGCCATAGGCGGAGGAATGTAGAAGACTGAGGTGGGCTGTAGCCTATGTAGAAAAATAAATCAGTATTTACAATTTTAATTTATATATGATAAATGTAATGCAGTAATTAATAAGTTTTAAAAAACAATTTAGTGCTCTAATGGCTTTAAATTAATTTTTTCTAAATGTATTCTCATTAAAAAAAACTCTGAGCTAACATTAATATTCCCATATAATATTATTTAGAATTGTAAAACAATTCTTAGTAAATAACCAAAACACAAAACTTAGTAAAAATCTAATCAAAATATTGATTTTTATTATTATTTTTTTATATAAATAATCTATCTTCTTTCCAATAAATTGATAAAAATATCTTAATGAAAAAATAATAAAATTTTATTCTTTCCTTTATCTTTAGTATTTTAAAAAATATAAATTTATTTTGGATTTCACTTAAATAGACTAAAAGATTTTAGTCAATATATATTATGGTATTAAAAGAAAGATGTTATTAAATATATTAATCTTAATTTGATTAAAATTTAAAAAATTAACCAATTTTCTCGTGACATTCATTAACTAAATCTTGTTAATATATTTATTAAAATTTAATTATTTTATACAGTAATTTATGAGCTTTTACAATAAATTATCTTATAAAATATGAAAGACAAATATTAATCAGGAAGATAAAATTATTATTAGCAAATAACCTAAATAAGATACTAGTGAAATCCTAATTAAGAAAATTGAATATTTTTCATTAAGTTTAGATATATAAATAGTCTATCTTTTATTAGATAAAAAGAAAATAGTCTTTTTAAAAAAGATAGAGAATTACTACTTGTGAAATTGAAAATTGATTTAATTATATGCCGGATTTGATTTTCTCCTTTCATTCATATGTATAATCTATTTACACATAATATGAGATTGATATACCACATATAAATGCTCCGTATAAAAAAACTACAGGTCATTTATATTAATAATAAAAACTAGTGATAGTTTATCAACATTATTATTATAATATATTTAACTCAATAATAGATTTTTAGTATGAATAATTAAATTTTAGATTCAATGATGGGATAGTGAAACTCCTTGTACTTAGCTATGCTTTAGAACCTAAGAACAACTTTAAATCATTTAAATTTGATGTTATTTATAAGTTTGCTAAAAAAATTTATCATGAAGATTTTAATGAACAGGAAATGTATTATTTAAGATCTCGGATAAAATATTATCAAATTGATGTGATTCATCATAAGAACTTTTAAAATATCTCTATTATTTCTGAATTATATAGAGAATTAATTAAAATAAATAAGTCACAGCACTATCATTTGATTGACAAGTTGATTCATTTTATTTTGACTTTATTTATTTTCATTGCCACCATAAAATGAGTATTTTCGGCAATAAAACATGTTAATTTACATAAATATGAGTTTTTAGCATATTTTATGATAATTTACATTGAACGAGATCTTGCTGAAAATATTAATTCAGATTCGATCATTAATAAATTTTATTTTACAAAATATGAAAGGGTGCAACTTCAACAGTGTAATTTATTTTTATTTTTTTAATTTTATATACTTTAAATTTGAATTAAAACTTTATTATTTATTTGAAGAATTTATATATATAAATTAATAATTGATATTATAAAATAATATATATATATATATATATATCTGTTTGATAGCCCAGGATAGAAAAAATCCCTGGCTACGCCCTTGCTTATATGCATATAATTTATCTAAACTGGTGTGTGTTTATAGTAGAAGACTACTAAAACCCAAAATAATGATTTAAGACATGGGTCTTGCAGTAAAACTTAACCATGACTATTGAAATACGAGCGTTGAACTTAAGACGATGATAATATTAATTAAACTTTAATATATTTTATTTAATGATATTAAAAAAAAACTTGAAGGCCACCATTCACTCATAAAAAGAAAAAAAGACATATTATTTGATCTAGAAAAACAACTAAACAAACGTCCAGACGTTCAACATGAAGATTTAATAAATAATAAATATAGCCATGTAAATTATACTTACAAACCAAAGTCCAAAATAATAAAAACAAAACTTCTATTACACATTTCAACTCACATATCCATATTCACACATTCAACAAAAAAAAAACGGTGGAAATTTGTTTAATTAATATGATTTGAATAAAATATAGAGGGATAATAAATTAATCTTAAAAAACTTTTGGTTTTATTTCTTAAATAACCCTTGTTTTTCTGGATTTAATTTTTTATTTAAGATAGCAAATTAATATTAATAATGGTGAGAATTAATTCTTATTCATTTTTTATTTTTTTAGCTTTCAAAGTTCATTATAAAAAAGGAATGAAGAAAGAGTTTTCAACCTGAATTTTTCATGTTTTTACATACTCTTATCCACTTCACATTTTAATGTTTGTTTCTCATTTTAAGTTTTTGTTTTCCTTTTAAATCTAGATCTTAGGTTTATCTGATTGAGAGATATTTGAGTGTTATATTCTTTGATTCAAATATCTTATTTAGAAATATATCTAAACTAAGATGGTGATGCTGGAATCTTGAAAGACATGTTGCAAACATTCAAGTTATATAAGTGGTGAATAATAGAACTTTAAAAACAAATAATTCATCCTTAAGAACAACAAAAAATTTATTACCTTAAAGTATTTTAACAAGTATTCTTTTTTATATTAATTTAAACATAAATATTTTTTGCTACTAGTATGCATGTTAAAACTTTGAATAATATCAATTACAAGTTTGATTATTTCAAGAACTTGTCTTAAATGATTAATATGTTCACCTAATCTTTTGCTATAAATCAAGTTATCATCAAAATAGACAACAATAAATTTTTCAATAAAAAATCTCAACACATGATTCTCGTGAATGTACTAAAGGCATTAGTCAAACCAAAGACATTATTTACCACTTATACAATCCATATTTAATTTTAAATGTTGTCTTCCATTCATCTTTTTATTTCATTTTAATTCAATGATAACCACTTTTGAAATGATCTAGCTGACCCTATATTAGCAGATGGAGTTTGTTTGGTTTAAAACATCGTGGTGCCAAAAGAGTTTAGAGTGCCAGACTTCATCACATATACTAGAATAGAATAGCCAAACACTCATCTTCGATCATACTATAACAAGATGGATGAAGTTATTCATAATGACAAAATGCTAATTTATTTCTTTCAGAATAGTCTCATAAGATCTGCCTTTAGTTGGTACATGAGACTACATAGTACCAAGATTAAGAAATGAAAGGATTTGGTAGACGCCTTCTTCAAGCAATATAAATTCAATTTGAAAACTTTTTCTAACAAACCCAATCTAATGACCAAGGAGAAGGGAAACCAAGAGTCTATGAAAGCATATGCACAAAGATGGCAAGGTAAGCCAATACATTTCCATCCTCCGCTAATAGAAATAATGTTGATGTTCACGAACATCTTCAAATCCCCATATTATAAGCATATAATTGGAAGCTCAGCTTAACAATTATGTGATACTATGAGAATTATAGAAAGAATTGAACAAGCTATCAAAAAAAAAAATTAGAGGTCCTATCATGGGTTCTAGAAATATGATGAGAGATGAATCAGAAGATGGCTCTCAGGTGGGAAATATTAGTTATATGGTCTAGCCAAGTCTCATTCTAGCATCAACTGCTCAAGAGTCTTTGTCAAAGATTGACATACATTTGCCACTCGAGTTTGTCTACCAACATTTGTCAAACTTCGGACTTGTTGCCTTGACTCCATCAAATCTCATACAATTATTGTTTTCTAGGTGGTATAATCTAGATGTGAGATGTGAATATCATGATGGAGTCCCGGGCCATTCGATTGAAAATTGTAAAAATTTAAAGTATCACATCTGGAAGTTGATGAGCAAAGGACATATTGAGTTTATGAAGAATAGTGATACCTACCACACAATCACCTCATCCCTATCTTCAGCAATGACCAGTAACTTGTAAAATGATGTCGAGGCATAGATAATATAAAGTTAGCTAGAGAATGAGCATTGTATTTTGCTTCAATATGTTTTCTATATGTCATGACTCCTTCATGTATTTTCAATGTATTGTATTTTATTTTTACACTTCCTACATGGACACCTAATATTGCATCCACTAAAATTTCTCAGAAAAGACGTTGTAAAA